TATGTAGTGAGGGGCAGAGTCTTAGGTGTTCACCAGGGCGGGGCAACCCAGTCACTGGGTTGTGACACAGTACATGGGGTAGGGATCTGAGAAGGAACAATGGTGATTGTTCTGCTCTCTGCCGGAATTCAGTCACTTCCCCTGTCTCCCCCAAGCAAACTGGGCTCTTCTGGTGCTGATGTCTGGGTGGGTGGGTTTATGTCCATTCTAGGACCCTGTGGGTCTCTTTAACGAACTCTCCTGTGAGGCTGGGAGTTTCTCCTGGCACCTCAACCCCCACAGGAGTTTTTAATCCGTGTTTTGAGGCTTTATTTCCCCACGCTGGGATCCTGGGTTGAGCAGTCTGTCTTGCTCCCCAGTTTTGCCTGGTTTCTCTGTGCATGAATGTGGGAACGCCCAGTCTGCCAGCCACCACTTGGCCATGAACCCTCTCCACCTAGCCACCCATCTCTGCCCCTCTTACCGGTCTGGATGCATGTGTCTACTTTAACTCCTTGGTTGTCGGACTTCCATACAGTTCAATTTTCTGTCAGTACTGGTTGTTTTTTGTTTCTAAATTATTGTTGTCCTTATTTTGGTTGTGCAAGGAGGCACAGTATACCAACCTATGCCTCCATCTTGGCTGGAAGTCTGCCTTATTATTATTAAAGATTTTATTTATTTATTTTTTAGAGAGAGGGAAAGGGAGGAAGAAAGAGAGGGAGAGGAAATATCAATGTGTGGTTGTCTCTTATGCACTCCTTACTGGGGACCTGGCCCACAAGCCAGGCATGTGCCCTGACTGGGAATCAAACCAGCAATCTTTTGGTTTGCAGGCTCACCCTCATTCCACTGAGCCACAATGGCCAGGGCTGAATTTATTTATTAATTCCATGATTGATGGATTTTTGGATTGTGCCCACTTTGGGGGTATGGTAAATAAAGTTGCTATGAACATCTGTACCTGTCTTTGGTGGACATATTTCTGTTGGGTCTTTCTTACTTCTCTTGGGTATACGAGGTCTGTCCAGGACGTATTCAGCCATGTAATATGAAAAATAGAGACACTGAAGAAGATATATAGAACAATGACGCCTCAGTCTCCTTCAAAGTCGGCACCTTGGGACCTCACCCAGTTCTCCCAATGCAGCATGATGTTCCTTCTGCTCTGGTAGCAGAAGACACGGGATGAATTTTGCCACTACATGTTTCATGCCAAGATCCTGCCTCAAAATCTCAGGCACAACAGACTTTGGAGTCCCCAGATCAGCTCCTAGTTCTTGGGCTGTCAGTCGCCGATATTTGTGGATGGCAGCCAGTATACATTCAACATTCTCAGGTATTTTGCTTGTCACAGGCCTTCCAGAACGTGGATCACTTTCAACAGATTCTTGACCACCGTTGAAGCATTTGTGCCTCACTTGTATTTGCCCTGCACTCATTGCATCATCTCCAAAAGCCTTCTAAATCATCCAAATAGTTTCCTCGGAGGAATGCTTAAGCATAATACAAAATTTGATGTGGATTCGTTGTTCTACTCACTCAGTCATTTTGAATGTGATGGCCACACAGTGCACATGCTCACTCAATGATATCTACTGCCCCCACTGACTAGCACAGTGAAGTCATCACTGTTCACACGTGTACATTCCAGTTCACTCTCCTTGGCTGCAAGGTTACATTGATGTCATGCAAGCCATTCTTGTTATTGATAATAATGGCTGGACTTCTTCCAGACAGACCTTCAAGACTCAGAAGTGGAATTGCTGAGCATAGGTTAAGGATATGTTCAGCTTTAGTAAATATTGCCAAAGAGGTTCTCCAATTGGCCTTACTTACCACTTACACCACCAGCAGAAGGGATGGGGATTCCAGCTGCTCTGCTTCCACCAACACACTCGGCGTTGCCCACCTTGTTACCGCTCCCTGTGCTGGTGAGGGTGCGTGCAGTGTCTCACTGTGGTTTTATTGTGCATTTCTCTGATGACTAATGACGTTGAGTATATTTTCACGTGCTTGTTGACCATTTGATGTCCGGTGTGTTTGTGTGTGTGCAAAGTAAGGTGTGGCAACTTGTATTCTTAAAGTTTGATTTTAGTTTTAGTTATTGGCTTCTTTATCTCTTCAGTGGCAAGAGATGACAGATTCTTCATAGTTCAGTCGTAGAAAGTTCCTGATTCTTTGGCTCTATCTTGTGCCAATAAAATATGACTCTGAGCTTACCTTTTTATGTCTCTAAATTCTGCAGGACAGTTAGCAGTCACTCTGCCCCCAGTCCTTGCCTTTCGTGCCATGCTATGGCAGCAAACATTTGGTCTCAAAAGCCTTCTTTCCGATGAGAAGTTCATTCGAGATGAGAACATGCAAGAATTTTATTAACTATTATTTCACCACTACCCACACGCCTGCTACAGTCACTTTTATAGTATCAGCTGGTGCTCATGCCTTCAGATGACTCCGATGGAGTCCGGGCCACCTTCTCACACACGCTGGCTGCAAAGCAGTCTGGGAAGGCTGATGTGTTGCTTCCACGCAGTGGCAGGGGCTGGGGGGAGGTACTTAGAGGAGGGGTGTTCAGAGATGCTAGGTATCCATAACATATGACAAATATTTACTATAAGCCTGTATTTTAGTTTTTAAGACAAAATGTTTAAAAAACCCTGGTTTAAGACAAAAGTTTAAAAATCTAAGTCCTTTACAATGCCCTTATTATCAGGAACTAGTTTAATGAGTTCTTAACCAGTGACATGAAGGTATTAGATATGGGCTCTACACTCATTATCTCATTCATTCTCCACAATCCTTTTAAGTAGATTCTATTATTACCTGCCTCTCAGTGCTGTGATTTCATTACCTGTAAGATACTTTAACTACACCCACAGGTTTTGTGAGTGTGTTGATACCTAGCGTGGTACTTGGTAGTGAGTAAGCATTCAGTAATGACACTGTATTCACCACCACCCTAACTGATATCCCTCCTAAGCTAACTTGTACCCCCAAATGCCTTTTTGAATTCAAGGGACACAGCGTCTTCCTCCTCAAGCTGCCCCGAGGTGGAAGGGCTGAGCACCTGGGCTCTGTCCCTGAAACTTTTAGGACCTCCCCACCCTGGCCTGTGCTGGGCAGGCCCAGAAACTCAACCTGCAGTTTTCTGATACCCCCTCCTCAGGCAAGGCCAGGACAGCTGGGGGCCCATAGGGAGGGGGCCAGCCTGAAGGCGGAGGGCTTCCCAGTTTGGTAAAGGCAGTTAGGAGGGGTCAGCAGGTAACAGGATGACCCCTGACAGCCGGCACAGAGAAGGAGTGACTATAAGAGTGGGGCACAGGTGGGGGGAGGGGCATAGGAAGAGGGGAGGGTGCAGCCCAGCCCCACGGACTAATAGGGTACACGTGACTTTCCCATTTGGGGAGGCTTCTAATGAAATACTTAAACCCATAGAAATATTTAAACTTCCATATGGGGAAAGGCCAATCCCTGCTCCGGGACAGCAGAACCAGAACCAGAACCAACTCAGGATCTGCCGTGTGCTGGGGTGGGCGAAGGCCAGGCCCACCACCGACTTGCTGGAGGAGCCGCAGCCCTGTTCTCCTCTCTGCACCTGTCAGCTTTCCTGTCTCCCGGATGGGAGGGGAGGATGAACAGGAGTCCAGGTGCCTTCTGGCTCAGACAAGGCTCCGACGGTCACACATCCGCGGAGTCCGAGCCTCCCCTATGTGCCCGTCGTTGTGGGCAGCCCTGGAGTAGGTGACTTGCCCTGGCGTGGGGCCTCAGGGGGTGGGGTCCGGGTTGGGCCCCCGCTTTGTGCGGATCTGGGCTGGGTGCACGGATTTGCCTGGACTCAAGAAGCTGGGGTCAGACATGGGGCCCCGCAGCTTCTCGGGGCAGGGCCGGTTGGCAGCGGCTCCTCTGCTGGGCCAGTGACTCAGCCGAAGCTTCTTGTTCACCCTTAATCCTGACACCGAACTCATCCTGGGGCTAGTGTAGCAATTCCTTGCAGGCTGCCTGTCTAACGTAGAATCAATCATTTCGTCCTGACTCCCAGACTGTGCGCCTGGCCCTGGTAGGGCCTCCCTGATCATCACTGCTGCGAGAACAAACTGAGTTGCCCACGTGAAGCACGGAGCATCGTGCCTGCCACTTACTCAGGGCTCGGTCATGGCAGCTGCTGCTGTCTCGGTGTGATTGCTATCGCATGCTGGCCCGTGGCTAAGTTCTTTGCAGGTGCTATCTTGTTTCATCTTATGTTGTCCTCACCACCACCCGTGAGGTGTTGTGGACACTGTCCCCATCTGGCAGATGATGAAACGGAGGCCCAGGAGACAGACCATCTACCTGAAACCTTACACACCTATGAGACAGAGCTAGAGAAGTCAGGCTACGTGAACCAACATGGGCAGGTGTTGGCGTGGGTCCATGACAGTCATGGACTTTACCATTTTGTTTGGGATCGTAGACCGGAAGGCCTTCCCTTGCTTGTGCTTCCCCCTCCCATCATTCTCAGATGGGATTTATGAGGCCCCCGAAGGTTAAAGGATTTGCACCAGGTTTCTCGAGTCCTTCCCTCCAATCCAGGCCCTTCCTGCTGCCACTCCCTTTCAAGCCCCCAGAGCCTGAGGATGGTGGTCGGTGCAACACTGGCCCCTGCTGGGAGGGGACAGGGCTGGAGGCCCCAGGCAGGAAGACACAGGGCAGGGCTGACCGAGAAGCAGGGCCAGGACAGCCGCAGATGCCTGCTGATCTCCCTTCCAGAAACAGGAACGGGAGGCTGTGGGTGGGGTGCGAGCCTACAGTAGCCAACAGTGTCACCCCAGAGGTGGGGTGCCCCGAGGTGGTGGCTTGATCCTGGATGGACCAGCAGGTCATAGGGGAAGGCCTCAGCAACCCCTGTGGGGAGGGATGGCAGGGGGTGTTACTGAGCACCAAGTGATGACGCAGAAGGCTCACTTTCCCAATCAGAGAAACTCCCGGCCAGGCATTAAAAGTGCAGCGGAGGCAGAGACACGCCACGGGGGAGACCGTCTCCTGCTCGGGGCAGCTGCAGTTGGAGGTCGGGTTCCGCTCGCAGCTCCACTCCTGCTTTTCAGAACCGTCTGAAGATCTGTGAGCCCCAGGGCTGTTATATCTTTGAGGTGAGATGGGTGTCCCTCTACTCTGGTTGTGGCTGGTGTTCTCTTACAACAGGAGTCTGACTTCACCCTTGGGCCTATTGTGTGGGCCACCAAGGGCCTGGGAGGTTTGGGCTGAGCGGTCAGGGTTGACCAAGGTTTGGGGGAGCAACCTGCAGAGGTCCTTCCTCTGGGCCTGAGATCTGGGCTGAGTTCTGTTCTAACACAGGGATTTACTGGAAGCCCAGGGTGCCATAGGTCCCGGCGTTCTGAGCTGTGCCTACGGAAGCAGGTCACCATCGGCACCAGGTAGCCTGGGTGTGGTGTGGAGTGGAGGCCATGGACGCCCCCCAGCTGCTGAAGCAGAAGGACTCTGGCTGCAGACTGCCCTCACTTCAGTCTCGGGGATGAGGGCTAGCCTTGCTTAGGTCCAGCAGCTGCTCTACAGAGCCCAGGCACCAGTTCTAGCTCTGCCACTGACCCCTTGGCGACCTTGGGCAAGTCTTTCTTCTCTCTGGGTCGTTTGTCCCCGTGAGGAAAGTGGGATGTTGGATTAGATTATACCCCAGATCCCAGCCCTCTAATCTAAAGATCTTGCACTCTGCCCTCAAGGGCCACTTTTCTCATCTGTCAATGGGCACACGCGTGTGTGAAGCAGCCTGGAAAAGGATGCGAACCATCTATTATGCGTGCACCTTTTGAGCATCTTGCTTGGTTCCGCATTAGGTCGCTGATGCTGGCTGGCCCAGGCGGCCCATCCTACAGACGGGAAGGTTTGCGAGGGCTCCACAGAGCTCTAGGTGGCCGGATAGACTTACTGGCCTGGGAACACTGGCTGGGGGACAGCGAGGAAATGGGGGGAGGGGGTGTGCTGGTACTCAAGGCAAGTCCTTTCCAGAAAGCTGGTACTGCGCCTGGCAGAGGGCTCTGGTGGAGTGTCAGAGATGAGTGCCCTGCCCGTGGACCCGAAGGAGAGTGCAGGGCCTGCCGGAAGCACCTGGCCAACAGAGATCATCCCCCTGGGGCCTGGGGAGTCCGCCAGGGAGGTGGTCTGCAAGAAGATCCGGGAGCTCTCCGATTCAGTATGGAGCGGAGGGAAGGGGAGGGGAGCGGAGGGCCGGGGAGGGAGGGGGGTGGGGCAGTAGAGAGCAGAGAGGGTGCGTCTCAGTGGCCACTTACGTGAACACAAAATAAAGCCGTCTGTTTGTGGTGTTATAAGTCAGCTTGCTAGGTCTTACTCCAAGGCTCCGTTCTCTGGGAATCGTGGAACAGTTCTTACGTCTCGTTCTAGTCCCCAGTCGCCACTTAGGGTTTCACCCCATGCCGGGCTACCCGGCAGAGGGTGGACGCTGTCCTGGCCCCCGTTTCGGTCCACAAAGATTGTTGCCCGCTGGTCTCCCTGTTGTCAGAAGATCGGGGCTCACATCCTACCTTTGCCACGTACCTGAAGAAATGAATCATATTTCAGAACCCTAGCTTCCTTTTTCCTACACTGGCGATAATAGTAGCGCTTACCACATGGGGACTCCGTGAGGATTCAGTGAGATGATGCAGTGCCCAGCCTTCCCTCCCTCTCTCCCTGCCTCGGCAGCACCACAGAGACCCCTTCATGGTGGCCGACCTGGGTGTGCTGGCCGGCCGCCATCAGGCCTTCTGCCAGGCCCTGCCGAGGGTCACGCCCTTCTACGCCGTGAAGTGCAACAGCAGCCCCTGGGTGCTGCGCGTCCTGGCTGCCCTGGGCACCGGCTTCGACTGTGCCAGCCAGGTGAGCCTGGGCCCACCGCCACTCGCCTCATTCAAAGGCCTGACGCTTCTTGGGGGGGAAAAAGGCCGATTGCCAGGGGTCCTGGAGTGGGGACCACTGCCCCGAAACCACGGTGGATGTGCATGGTCCTCAGTTGTTGGTAAAAGAATAAATGAATGAACTAACAGCGGTCAACCGTCCATGGGTCTAGGTGGCATGGACAGTCAGTGTGAGCTCGTGAGTGGAAGGAACACGTGTTTTCAGCTACAGACCCCACTGGTCCAGCCATTTCACCTGCATCTCAGTTTCTTTGTCTCTAAAAGGGGTCAACTCAATGTTCCTTAGAGTTGTCTAGAAGCTTAAATAGCACAGGGTGTGCCCAGCGCTGTGCCAGGGGCATAACAGGGGCTCTGTCAAGGACCACCCCTCATGCCTCGGCTCCTATACTCAAAGAACGGGGGCAGCAGGAAGGCAGAGGTTCACTGTGGCTGTCGCTGTGCCAGGTGGAGCTGGAGCAGGTTCTGGGCCTGGGTGTGGCCCCCTCACGCATCATCTATGCCAATCCCTGCAAGTCCATCTCCAGCCTCCAGTATGCTGCCTGCCACGGGGTGCAGCTCCTGACCTTCGACAGTGAGGAAGAGCTGGCCAAGGTGGCCCAGCACCACCCCGGGGCCAGGTGAGACCGGCAGGGTCACTGCAGGCAGGAGGGGATAGGCGGAGCAAGGGACAGCAAGCCTGGGGCTCTGGCAACTGACCTGGCCTCACCAACTAGATGAAGACCGTTAGGGGCAGTGGCCAGGAGAGGCCCAAGTGGCGAAGTACTGGAATTTGGGTTAGGTGGACAGTGCCTTCCCTGCTGCCCATTGGTGTCAAGTAAACATGGCCTGTGTCTGCACAGACACTGGGCGGAGCCTGGCGTCAGGAGGTCTGGGGTCGGGCAACCTCATGGGAGAGGCCGGGGGCAGGGAGACCGGGGCTCACATTTCTGACCTGTCTGTCACTTTGGCGTGTTCTTGGGGAAGCTGTCTAACATTTCCAATCCCCTAACAGCAGATCTGCTGAAGGGATGCTCATAATTACATCATTTTCCTGCTCCTTCTTGTCTGGGCTGAAGTCTCTAAGTAGTGGTGTGTTTCCTCCTTGGGATCGGCGGCTGGAGTGTCCAGAGGAACTAGACAGGGGTGGGTGGGAGGGTGGAGGGCGTTTGGTTGGGGGGCGGCAAACACCCAGGCTTTGGGGCTCATGTCTAAGAACACCCCTCTCCCAGGCTGGTCCTCCGGCTCTGGACCGAGGACAGCAAGAGCATCTTCCCTCTGAGCGCCAAGTTTGGGGCCAGACTGGACATGTGTGAACATTTGCTCAAGGCGGCCCGAGACCTGGGGTTGGCTGTGGTCGGAGCCAGGTAAGAGCACTGGCCTTCTGTGCCTGGGAGGCGGGTCTTGGTCTGCACTGCACCACCCTGTCCACGCCTTTGACTCACTCTGGGCCCTCGGCCAGCGAGGCCTCTCTGACCGGGCCTCCTGTTGCTTCTGTTGCTTCCTCCTGTGTCCTCAGCAAAGGAGGGGGCCGTCACCTGCTGTGAGGGTGGGGTGGGTGAGCCCTGCTGGCCGTGGGTGCAAAATTTAATGGGATGCAAAAGAACTTCATACTCAAGGTGAATAATATTTTAATACAGTATTTTGAAAAGTTTAATGCAGAAAAAGTCCATGATGAGAGAATGTCATGATTTTTAATCAAGGCAGGGATCCCCAGCCTTAAGGCTTTGGGAGGGGGCAGCTAAGAGTGGTGACCACCGCACAAGCACAAGAGCCCTAACTCAAGGACTGTCGTGTGGGGGTGTCACTGGGGCCCCACGTGCATAGCCAAGGTTGCGGTTTCCGAAGGTGCCCACCATCTCCAGGGCAGTCACCCGTGTCCTGGCCTCCCTACCCATGCGGGCTCCGCACTCCACCCGTGTGGGTGTTCCCAAATGCGCATCCCTCCCTCCTGACCTTGCGTCTCCTTGTGTGTTCCCCACCGCTCACTCGACATGTGTTCAGCTTCCACGTGGGCTCAAGCTGCCTGAACACCCACCTCTTCGAAAAGGCCATTGCCGACTGCCAGCACATCTTCGAGATGGGCCGTGGGGTCGGGCACAAAATGAACCTCCTGGATATTGGAGGGGGGTTCCCAGGAGCAGAGGGCTTGGAGCCTGTGTTTGAGGAGGTAAGAGGGGAGGAGGAGAGGGGATCTAGGGACAGAGTGGGGTTTGTGTACAGGGAGCTCTTGTAACCGAGTCGTGTGCCTGCAGGTAGCTGGGGCTGGTTTTGCTGAGCGGTCTCTCACTCTGCGTACAGGGCCTATGTACAGGTATGGGCACAGTGGGGCGTGGTGGCTCCGTGCCTTTCCCTAGACCTGCTGGTTACTGTCTTCGCTGGAGCCGCCCTCAGAGAGACGTTCACTCACTGTGGCCCCCACGCCCAGGGCACACTTGTGGACGGTTCCAAGTCCAGACTCCCAGGGAGTTGCAGCCCACGCACTTGCCGTGTACCCTCAGACAGCGTCCCTCTGGGCCGCCCTTTCCACCTGTTTCCCTCCAGTAAAATGGGGGTGATGGTACCTTCCCACAGGAGCACCAAGAGATGAGGCGGGCAGAGACCCTGCATAGGAACCGGCCTCACACGGTCTGGGTCTGTCCCCGCAGATGGCGGGAGTGATCCGCGCTGCCCTGGCCCGGGACTTCCCCACGGGGACCGGCGTTGAGGTCATCGCGGAGCCTGGACGCTTCTACACGGAGTCTGTGTGCACGGCTGCCGTCAACATCATCGCCAAGAAGGCCGTGCTGGAGGACGGTGGGCGGGGCCAGGGCGGGGAGGGCCCTGTCCAGGGTTCCCAGGCCCCAGGGTGGAGCGTGGGCAGAGGGTCTGGATCCCATCCTGGATCCCAGGGCTGGCTCCTCACTGGCGGGGAAATAAGCTTCGAATTCGATACAGACAAGAACCAGTCATTGTTAGTATTTTGTTGTTCTCAGACCGGAAGGGGGACAGTGAGGGACGAAGAATTCACAACTGGAGTGTGAAGGGGGAGTCACGAGTACAGCTCGCAGGGGCACAGACACCACCGCGCAGGCGTGCGCCTGGGTTTCTCCAGGCTCGCATTTCTAACAGCAGTAAACTTTCTTTAAAGATGTTTTGTATGTATGTATGTATGCATGCATGTATATGGAAGGGTGAAAGGAAGAGAAAGAGAGAAACATCAATGTGTGGTTGCCTCTTGTGTGCCCCCTACTGGGGACCTGGCCCACAACCCAGGCATGTGCCCTGCCTGACTGGGAATCGAACGGGTGGCAACCCTTTGCTTCGCAGTCCAGCGCTCAATCCACTGAGCCACACCAGCCAGGGCAGGAGCAAACTTTTATAACCAAAAACATAGTGAGTAGATACTAGCCGTACAGCAGATCTGTGAAGGCGTTATTGTCTGTGTCATGGCCTGGAGGTTAAGGGCGACACTTGTAGGTAACAGGACACATTTTGACCATCGAGGTGAGCCATCAGGGGAGAGTATGTTGGTTGTGTGCTGTCGTGCTGTGTGTGTGTGGGGGGGGGAGCCAGAAACCCCAGTTCGTGGTGAGATGGGAAACACAGAGACACCCACCCTCTGGGTTAGCGCTCTTTACTCTGCAGCTTTGTGATGACAGACATGTAAGGACTTCTGAATCCTTTCAATCTGCTTCCTTGTCCTTTTGACAAGTGCCTGTCCCATACCTTTCTAATCCTAAAGGCACGTGGGCTCACGAATGTCCTTCCCTCACAAAGCGTCCCACTGGAGAGTATTGTGATGTGGGCTATAGGATTTCAGTCATCACTTAACAAAAGTCTAATTCATAGGTGTTTGGGCCTTATCATTTTTATTTTCATAATAGCAAGAGCTGCCTATGATGAAGGATCTATTGGGTGAGAAATTACTATCTGACGCCCTCTCTGCTCAGCAATCCTGGAGGGGTCTGTGCCGTCCCGGTTTCACGGGCGGAGATTCTGACGCTGCGCGGGGGAGGCAGTGACTTGTCCGAGGCAGTAGCGCCGGCTGGTGGCGCCACTGAGCGAAGGTCGGTCTGACTGCAGGGCTGGCTTCCTCGTGTCTGCGGAGGTGCCAGGCGGAGCTGAGCGCCCAGCCTCCGGGCCGGCGTGACTAACGCCCACGGCCAACTGGCTGAGGGACAACGGGGGCTGGGGGCGCAAGAGGCAGGACCAGTGACAGCCGCTGAGAGAGCTGAGGAAGGTGGGGGCGGGGAGTGACCAGCACCAGGGAGAGGATGGTGGGGGGAGACCCAAGGAGAGAAGACGAATATTCAGAACGCTCTGGGCATCTATCTAAATGCCCAAATGTGATAAGACTCCCCCAATGGTCACAGAAATCGGTTGAAAAGAAATCAGTGTTCTTTATTTTATTTTATTTCATTTCTTTCTTCCTCCACTGCCATTTATCCCTCCTATACCCTTTTCTACCTCTACCCAAGAGATCAATGTTCTTTTTAAAAAAATATGTTTCATTGATTAGACCAGCTCAGACTGGTCCCAACCAAATCAAAATGGGATAAGGTGGCTCGAGCTTACATATCCTTTCAACCTTTCCAACTTTCTTCAGAGTCTCCTCCTGGTTTCCTAAAAAGGCCACCACTTGAACAGTCTGCACATGCGCCCAGGGCCGGACTCTGGTCGCCAGGCTCAGTGGCCTCTGTCCAACACCTCCTGCAGCGCCGGAGGGCCGCTCAAAGGTGCAGCAGTGCTTCTCTCCATCCTGAGTTCTTTTTTAAAAATGTATTTTGTTGATTATGCTATGACAGTTGTGCCATTTTTTCTTCCCTCTGTTCCCCTCCACCCTGCACTGCCTCTCCCACCAGCATTCTAACCCCTTAGTGCATGTCCCCGGGTTGTGCATACAAGTTCTTTGGCTTCTCCATTTCCTATTCTTAACCTCCCCCTGTCTACTTTGTACCTACCATTTATGCTTCTTATTCCCTGTACCTTTCCCCGATTCTCCCTTATCCCCCTTCCTGCTGATAACCCTCCACGTGATCTCCATTTCTGTGATTCTGTTCCTGTTCTAGTTGTTGGCTTAGTTTGTTTTCGTTTTTAGGTTCAGTTGTTGATAGTTGTAAGTTTGTTGTCATCTTACTGTTCATAGTTTTGATCATTTTCTTTTTCTTAGATAAGTCTCTTTAACATTTCATATGGTAAGGGCTTGGTGATGATGAACTCCTTGAACTTGACCTTATCTGGGAAGCACTTTATCTGCCCTTCCATTCTAAATGATAGCTTTGCTGGATAGAGTCATCTTGGATGCAGGTCCTTCCTTGCCTTTCATGACTTTGAATACTTCTTTCCAGCCCCTTCTTGCCTGTAAGATTTCTTTTGAGAAATAAGCTGATACTCTTATGGGAACTCCTTTGTAGATAACTCTTTCCTTTTCTCTTGCTGCTTTTAAGATTCTCTCCTCTTTCATCTTTGGTAATGTAATTATGATGTGCCTTGGTGTGTTCCTCCTTGGGTCCAACTTCTTTGGGACTCTCTGAGCTTCCTGGACTTCCTAGAAGTCTGTTTCCTTGGCCAAATTGGGGAAGTTTTCCTTCATTATTTTTTCAAATAAGTTTTCAATTTCTTGCTCTTCCTCTTCTCCTTCTGGTACCTCTATGATTCGGATGTTGAAACATCTAACGTTGTCCTGCAGGTTCCTAAGCTTGTCTTCATTTTTCTGAATTCTTGTTTCTTTATTCTGTTCTGGTTGAATGTTTAATTCTTCCTTTTGTTCCAAATCATTGGTTTGAGCCCTGGTTCCCTTCCCTTCACTGTTGCTTCCCTGTATACTTTTCTTTATTTCACTTTGCAGTGCCTTCACTTTTTCCTCTATTCTGCGACCATACTCAACCATTTCTGTGAGCATCCTGATTACCAGTGTTTTGAACTCTGCATCTGATAGGTTGGCCATATCTTCATCACTTAGTTCTGTTTTTGGAGCTTTGCTCTGTTCTTTCATTTGTGCCATATATTTTGGTCTTGGCGCACCTGTTCTGTAGTAAGGTGTGGAGCCTTAGCTATTCACCAGGGTGGGGCAAACCATGTGGCTACATTGTGGCTCTATAAGTGGGGGAGGGGCCCAAGAGGGAACAATGCTGTTTGCTCAGCTCTTGGCAGACATTCATTCACTTCCCCGGCTACCCACAAGCAAATTGGGCCCTTCTGGTGCTGATTCCCAGGTGGGTGGTTTTGTGTACGTTCTATGTACCCGGTGGGTCTCTCCAATGAACTCTCCTGTGAGGCTGGGAGTTTCTCCCACTGCCATAACCTCCACCGGTTTTTGCAGTCAGAGGTTTTGAGGCTTTATTTCCCCGCACTGGAACACTGGGTTGCACAATCTGTCTCACTCCCCAGTTGTTCCTCCCGGTTAATCCGCATGCGATTGTGGGACCACCCTGCTCACCAGCTGCTGCCTTGCCGCACGCATGTCCTCTCTGCCCTGGCTGCCCGTCTCCGCCCCTCCCGCTGGTCTGGATGAATATTTCTTCCTTAACTCTTTGTTGTCGGATTTCCATACAGTTTGATTTTCTGGCAGTTCTGGTTATTTCTTGTTTTTTAATTTGTTGTTGTCCTTCTTCTGGTTGTGCAAGGAAGCAAAGTGTATCTACTTATGCCTCCATCTTGGCTGGAAGAAATCAATGTTCTAAGGACAGACTAAGAGTGGTTGTTTAGAAATTGCCTTGGTAGTAGTCCGTGTCCGAAGAACCTGGGGTCGCAGGCGAGCCTCAGCTCAGTGTGCATCAGGAGTGTGATGGAGCTTGGGAGGAGCCCCCACACGTTCACTGCGGCAGCGTCAACAGAGGCAGAGTATTTAGAAGGAAGGAGGTGACACCCATGCTCTATGCTGCTTGTTAGGGTTGGGCACTGTGTTCAGTGCAACCGGATTCACTTTGCTCAGGTCACGTGAGACAGGGAGACACAGAAACTACTCCTTACAAGAAGATTTCCCTGGGAACAGGAGTTATGGCATGCCACACAGGCCTCATGGGGAAGCGCCAGGGTGGGTCAGGAGGCAGGACAAGGGTCTGGGTGGGTGAGAGGCTGTACTGTGGGTTTAAGGAAAAGAGCGAGTGAGGCAGGGAAAACCACGTAGGCAGGTTTGGGATTGGCTGGTTTGAGCAATCGTGGTGGGTTCTGGGCCACAAGGACCGCCATGGTTGCCTGGTCCCTGGCCCTGGGATAGTTAGGGGAGAGTGGGAGTGGTTGACCCCATGAGAACACTGTAAAGGGGGTGGTTGGCAGGAACGGACTCTGGATCGGCTGGTTTGCATGGGGAGGGGCACCTGCAGGCGTGTCTCTTACTGGGAGGAGCAGAGTGTCCAGGGTCAGTGAGGCCCCAGATGCCAGAGCATCAAGATGAAGAAAACGAACAATATGGGTAACCAGGCAGCCCTTCGAGGAAAAAAAAGGATAAATTAGCACATCTCTAAGGGGCACCCATAATGGAAATATACCACAAAAAGGCATTTTGCTCCTAGTTTTGCCCTACACAGAACCCAGTCTAAAGTGAGGACAGAGGACCTGGGACTAGACCAGGGACAAATTCCCGCCCTGCTGAATTCTCCTGTGTGACTTCTGGCAAGACTCAGTTTCCCCACTGATACAGTGGTGTTCATTGTCTTTACTCAGAGTGTGGTTTGGAGGATTAAATAATTTAACACATGCAGCCAGGCCGGAACAATGCCCAGGCCGTAGTTCGTGGCACATTAGCTCTATTAGCAGTAGTAGCCGCAGCAGCGGCAGCACCCCTGTGGGGTGGGGTGGGGTGGGAGGCAGCGAGGCACTGAGAGCCCAGGGACCAGGCCCCAGCCTTGCACAGGATCAGGAAAGGCTCTCAGATCAGGGCACAAAGGTTACCTGGTGCTGGGAAGGGTGTCTGGGCTGCTCCCAAGGGTGCTGGGCTCAGTGTTGATGGTCAGTGTTGAGACCTCACTGAGCACACCTCAGCCCTGCCCTCTCCCTGCTCCCAGGAGGCTGCCGGAAACTGTTGTATTATCTCAACGAGGGCCACTACGGCATCTTCCGAGCCTGCATCAGGGAGCCGGTCCCCAGGACGCCAATAGTGGTGAAGGTAAGGGGGCCCTTGTGCGGCTCTGGCGCCCCTCAGAGCCCGAGAGCACCGAGTTCAGTCCGCTTCCCCGTGAGGCAGGGGTCCCTCTGTGAGGTGGAGAGGCGCAGGGTCTTCGTTTACAAGTTGCTCTGCAGATGGCCACACCACGTGCTTGTACAAGGTTGTGCATGGGTGTGCCTGTTTGCATTTGCATGTGTACCTCTTTTGTGTGTGAGCACGCTGATTTGCACCTGTGCAGGTGGGTGTGGGGACAGGTACATGGTTCTGTGCGGGTGTGCATGCCATCTGTTTGCCTCTGGGCTCCCGTGTGATCTCTCCGTATCCACTCTGTGCGTGGGTGTTTAGCAGCATCCTGGGATGCAGGAGATGCAGAAGACCTGGGAAACAGAGATTCTCCAACATTGCTTCACGGTAGATTCATCTGGGAAGTTTTCAAAGACCCTGAGCCTAGGCCACGCCCTGGACTGTCAACACCTCACATTCTTATGGGTTGAGACGTGACATCAGTCCTTTGTTAAAACTCCTCCAGTGTGACTCCAGTGTGCAGCTGAGTTTGGGGCCCAGTGTTTGGAGTGATTATTGACTAAAATCTTTCAGTTTTATAGATGGGAAGCTGAGGCCATGGCTGTGTCTGCCCATGTAACTTGGCAAGGCTAGAACGTGTCCCTCGAAGGGATGTCATGAGCAAGCTCCATGAGGGAGGGGTCAAGAACAGAGGCTGGCACGCAGGGACTGCTCAGTAGTTGTTGGGATGGCTGACTGACAGCGTCCTTGCTGGTGCCTTCCCACTTATGCCTTGGGGTGCTCTGCTGGCCTAGGGCATGCGCTTGGAGGATGGGCTGGGGGGAGGAGCTCTCCCTTCTCTGGTCCTCCATCCCTGTGTCCCTGCAGGAGCTCAGCTCGAAGCCGCCCCTCTTCCCCTGCATCCTCTATGGCCCCACGTGCGATGCCTTTGACAAGCTCTCCGAGCAGGAGGTGCAGCTGCCCGAACTGGATGTGGGTGACTGGCTCATCTTCCCCTCCATGGGTGCCTACACTTGGGTCATGAGCTCCACCTTCAATGGCTTCCTGCCCGCCTCCATCTGCTACGCCATGGGACCCGAGTTCAGGTGTCTGGGCGCAGGGGGAAAGAGGCTCTCACCAGGACCTGAGCTGGGCACGGGGATCTGGTGGCTGCGCTCTGGGTTCCCAGGTCCACGAAATACCTTGCTCCCCCCACTGTCCCCAGTAAAGGTCTGACTGACATTGACACTGACTATGGGGCTGACCCCGTTACACCCACCACCCAGATAAGTCCACGGCAGCCCACTTGGGCGGCTCTGACAGCTCTGAAGAAGAGGCCCCTCTGTGCACGGAGCAGGCAGAGCTATGGCCCAGATCTTGGCCACGCCCCCGCTCTGCTCTGACATTTGTGGCTGTTCCCCAGGTCCCTCCTCAGGTGTCCCTTCCCTACCAGCCTCAAACTTCCTCATGGCCTCTGCCCAAGGGTCCCCTGTCAGCCACCGTAGGGCTCACCCCCCCACCAGGTTGTGGGGAGGGCTCTAGAACACCCCTTTACTGGTGCAACCTTTCCACAGGAGCCTGCTGGAGACAGCACCTTAAGCTGGGACATGGCGGAACAGACCTGCTCCAGGTGCGCCCGTGTGGGACAGCCTGGGGGTGGGGTGGGGGTTGGGAAGAGTAACATGTGGGGAGCAAAGGTTTGGGTGCTTCTGAAATAATGAGACAATGTTTCAGATTCAAAACGGCTTTTTCTCCCAAAGTCAGTCTGAAGCATAGGCTAGCTCTTCACGGCAGCCACCCCTCCCTCCCTGCCTGCTCCCACCCCCAGGCCCTGGGGTGGGGGAGAGCTGAGAAACCAGTCTCGTTACGACACGTGCCCTGTGAAGACCGTCTCCCGGAGTGCCAAGCAACCTGCCTTGGCCAGTACCTTGAGATTTTTTCATCCTTCCTTTTATCCAGTTAATGACCTTGTGTCATTCCAGAAAGATTTGTGTGAACCAGAGGTCCCCGTTCTAGTGGTAAGAACACTGGCTTTGGGGTCTGGCCCAGAGCGAATCCAGGCTCCGCCACAGACGGACAGTGTGGGGAAAGCCTCAGTGTCTCCATCAACGGTTGACGGACGCTGTCAGTCAGCCACGAGAATGACGTTGGTGCCGTCCTGGCAGACTGTTGGGGGCATTCAGTCAGGTCATGAAAATGCTCGTGTCCAGAACCCCGCCTGCCCCAGGCTGTCCTGGCCCTGGGCCCCTCCTGCTCAGAGACCGCCCGCTGACCCCATGGTCTGGGCATCCTCGGGGAGCACGCATCACATCTGGCCACACAGCTAATGGGCCAGGCAGGCGGGTGTCTGCCCTGGCCTTGGCCTTAACAAACCCCCAGTTTGGGAGGTGGGAGGACGAGGAGTAGAAACACCCAACTCCCAAATGAGGCAGATGCTACTGTGTGTCTGTCACCCAAGGACACTAAACCTGCAGAAACAGTGTGTGGGGAATTCTGAGCTGGAGGAAAAGAATGTGCTCTACAGGCAGGGACACTGGCGGGGGCGGGGGGGGGGGTAGGGACACATTATACCACCAGCCATGTCTCTGCAGCGAGCAGAGGTGGAGCGGGCCCAGCGGCCAAAGCCACTCTCATCCCGAGTCCCTCATCCTTCTCAGGCTTCACCTGATTTGACCCGTCCAATCACCTCCTTCTGCAAATGGTCCCCGCCATCCACCAGCCAGTACCCCCAATCTGAATGCTGCCTCCACAACTCAGCCACGATCAGAGGTGTTTCCAGCATCCTCGTGCCAAAGAGATTTCTCCCCGTGGACACCCGAGAAGGGGTGAGCTCCAGACGCCCCCTGAGGAAGCCAGAGGCCTCCGACGGCCTTCCGATCCTGTGTGACTCACTCCTCTGCTCCCGCATCCAGAAACGTTGGGGTGGAAACAACAGCCACTCCTGCCCCCTCAGAGGTCTCTGGAAGCAAATACAAGTGGGCTTTAGGGAAACATAAAGTTATGTTCATATGCAAGACTTGTTGGAGTGTTTTGTTGTGCTCTACGGGTGCTGTCCTGTAGAATTGTCAATACCCATCCATCCCTCTATTCATTGACCCTTCCATCCTTCTGTGATCCGCCCATCCACCCACGCACCCGTCCATCCATCCACTGACCCATCGGTTGATCCATTCATCCATTCATCCAACCTTCCTTCCATTCATACGGTCAGATGTGAGAGCATAGTCTGTGATGGCATTATTCTAGGCAAGGCGACACATGATGAGTAAGATGTGCAGAGCCCACACTCACAGAGCTTAGCTTCCAGTAGTGAAACTCAGAGCAGAAGCGAACATAAGTGATAAAATAAAGTGGAAGCAACAAGTGTTGTGAAGAAAAACTAAAACACGGCAAGGGGATAGGAAAGAATAGCGGATGGTGCTATTTTCGGCAGAGGGATGGGGGGGCCTCCCTGAGAACTTGGGGGGTGAGCAGAGGCGGGAAGGGAGCTGTGTGGTCAGCTGAGGCAGAGTGCCAGTACTGGAAACCACCAGCCCAAAGGTCAGGGATGGAGAGTGTTTCAGAAAATGCAAGGGCACCACTGTGCGGTGAACGGAGTGAGGGCGAGGAGGCGTTGCAGATGAGGGAGAAGCGGGCCCGGAGGCTGGTGTTCTCCAGCCTCCCGGTGAGTCAGGGCCTGGACTCTTCTGAGGGAGCGGGAAGGTCTAAAGGGTTTGAACAGGTGAGTTTGAACAGGTAAGTGAATGAGAGGATGCCTGGAGAACTTGAGGGGCTCCTGCCAGCCCCCGTGAATGCCGGGTGGTCACGGTGTGGGTGGTAAGAAGGCTGAGGCTCAAGAAAGGCTATAAGGATTGGGTCAAGTGAATTCGCTGAGGGGGTGGCTGTGGGGTATGGGCGGAGAGGAGTCAGGGACGACTCCAGGGCTTTTGGTCAGAGCAGCCCACAAGTGGGGATGCTGTGAGCGGGGGGGCAGGTTAGTGGGTTCAAATCGAGAGCTCAGTTTAGACGAGGCAGGTTTGACAAGCCTGTTTGACCGCCAGATGGAGTCAGATGTGAACTCTTCTGGGTTCCAGGGCAAGTGTTGGATAGGAACACGGGGGAGAGGCATGAACATGGAGGAGAGGCATGAACACGGGGGGAGGCATGAACACAGGGGAGAGATATGATCATTAAGGACAGTTGTGAACATGGGAGAGATGTATGAACATGGGAGGGAGGTGTGAACCCGAGGGTCATCCCACTGGATGGACATTACGTTTCCAGGGCTGCCCAGCCCAACCCAGCCAGGAAGCAAGAATCTATACAGATGATACAACTCACAGAAACTAAGAGAAGAAATGTTTCAGGAAGGAGGGAACCTTCAACTGTGTGTGTGTGTGTGTGTGTGTGTGTGTGTGTGTGTGTGTGGTCAAGGCTGAGAACAGAGCTGGGAAAATCGCGGCCACTGGCAGTCCTCCCCATGGGGCTTCATTGCGGAGGAGGAGGGCTCCTGGGAGTGGGGTCCGGAGAGGATGGTGGGGAGGGGAGGCAGTGGAGGGTGGGCTCCTCTCCCGGGGAGCTGTGCTGTTGGGGGAACAGGAAACAAGAGGGTGGTAGAAGATGCTTTTGTAGGGTCACCAGGGTTTGAGAGAAGAAATATTAGGTCTTGTTTGTAGATCATGGGGCTGGGTAACAGAGGGGATAATTACCATGCAGATGAGGGAGGAGAGAGTCCTAAGAGAAAAATCCTTGGGTGGGTGGGAGGGGTCCGTGTCCTGTGTGCGAGGGGAAGCCGTGACGCAGATGGGAGCTGGGGCAGTGCCTACAGACAGTGGTGGTGGGGGGGAGGCGGGGCACACAGGCACAGGCTGGGGGGAGGACGTGGGGTCCTCTCCCAGTCGTTTCTCTTCTCAGTGGAAGGGGAAACGGGGCCAAGCGGAAGGAGGCAGGCGGCGTTCTGAGTGTTTCGAGGAGAGGCCTGTTTCCCCAGAGGGAAAATCACAAGGGTGGGAGACTGAACGGACCAGGGAAATGGGGTCCCATTGCCTGCCCAGGTGCCCTCTTGAGGTTTGCGGTGTCAATTTAGCATGCGTCTGCTCAACGTACAGCTGCTGGGTGCGGGTGCAGAGTGGGTGGGGGTGGGCGGGGGGTGGGGAGAGTCGGGGGAGGAGGAAGCTGCTTCCAGTGAAGAGCTCCTGGGGTCTCTGCACACGCAGGCTCCACCTGTAGCCCCCCTCCCAAGGCTCTGAGCTCCCTGCAGTCCTCAAGGCCTTTTCTTGACCCCAAAAGCTGTCCTGCCATATTCTTTATCTGCTGGGTCCTCATAATCACCCTGTGAGATCCTGATGACCTCCCCTCATAGAAGTGAATTACCCGGGTCACTAGCCAGTAAGAGGCCGACCTGGCATTCAAACTCAAACTCAAATGTCGGTTCATTCTTCTCCTTTCTGGGCAGCAGGGCCATGGGCACTGTGTTTAAGAAAGTCTTGCATTTCAGATGCTGAAAATAAACTAGCTCAGCTGTTTGGGAAATTAAACTTCAGGTGTTTAGTGACCCCGGTGGCCCAGGCTTTGTCATGATTCAACCATAGTGTCTTGCTGCCACCTATTGGTCACTATCAGTGTTGCACCCCAAAAGAACTTGGTTTTGCTTAGCTAAGAAGACTGTCTGGGGCCCACGTCGCACGGCTGAAAAGGGCTAGAGAGGAGTTCTCGCCCCGGAGGAGATGGAATTCCAGAGAGGAGACTCCAAAACTCCACCTGCACTTGCCTGCTCTACCCATTCAATTGTCCAGTCATTCAATAAATGTTCTCGGGAAGCCGATGCCGTGTGGACACTGTTGTAGACACTCAGAATAAGACGGAGGAGACCCTGGCCCTTCCAGAGCTGCCATTGTTCTGGGGGAGAGGTGAAGGGGACAGATACGAAACAAGTAAATAAGCCACATAACGGTAAAGGTGAGAGACGTTGTGAAGGAACTAGAACAGAGGGCGAGTGGGGAGAGCAGTGGGTCGGTCGGGAGATGACGTTTGACTTGGGGCCCAAAGGCTGGGAGGCTGGGAGGCGCAGGGAAAGACCGCGAGGCCTCACCACAACTGCCCCGAGTCTCTCAAGAGTCTGAGCAGGTTCCAGGACAGCTGGAGCCCACCGATGCCCCAGCCGGGGGCTATCCATGTAGAACACACAGAGAGGTCCGAGTAGAATGTTCTCCAGGAGCCGGTGGCTTGGGGGGGGGGGCGTGCCATTGACCCCCTGTCAATTAGCCCACAGCGCCTCTCAGCCCACGCCTTACTCACACCGCTGGCCACTTCATCCTTGGAGCTCTCTCCTCCCTTGGCCTGTGTGACCCCCGCCTCTGGAGGTAGGGAAAGCTATGATTATTCTCCTGTGAAAATTAAAGCTTCACAATCAACATAGAGATGTCCCTGGTTTGAAAGAACCCGCTCAAGTGTCAGAAGCTAGAGCAGGAAATGCTGGCGTGTGGAGTCAAAGATCAAGGTCGACATTTCCCGGACCTGGGACAGGAGCACGTAGGAAAGAATTGCTTATAGTTCTTGCCATGTTTTTGGATTTTTTAAAAAACATTTTATTTATTTATTTTTAGAGAGAGGGGAAGGGAGGGAGGAAGAGAGGGAGAGAAACATCCATAGGTTGCCTCTCGCTTGTACCCCAGCTGGGGACCAGCCTGCAACCCAGGCCTGTGCCCTGACCGGGAATGGAACTGGCGATCTTTCACTTTGTGGGACGATGCTCAACCAACTGAGCCATGCTGGTCAGGGCTGTTGCCATGTTTTAAGTGGGTTTGTGGCCTTGTCTGCTACTTAATGGTTAGCCATTCTTGCACATAAAATGATTATTTGTAAGTTTGCAAACATAGTATGAGCATGCTTAATTCAAATGCTATGGGTGGTGTTTCAAGAAATAATATGTTCTGGAAGCAAAAGTCCCTAAATTGGCAATTTTGGCATGTTACTCCAATACTATCCAATTATGCTAGCTGGTGAGGAATGAGTGAACAAAACAAGATGAATTCAGTGTAGCTAAGCTGACCAAAAATGGAGTCTGTGCAGTGAAGCCGACGAAACTGATTTAGATCAAAAGGTCAGAAGCAGGAGGAATAGATTTTATTTTACTTTAACTAGCCCGAGGACTTAAACTGTTGCGTTTCTCAGTTGTGCGTCAGTGCCTGGAGATATATAACTTCCTGGAGAAGTACTTAGGAAAGAATGTTTACGTGCCCAGACTGTAGGACATGCATTATCCAGACTGCTGGTCATCTGGAAGATCATCGTCGTAGATGATTCCAGAGGTGAAGAATGCAAGACAGATTCAAGAATGTGCTGTTTGCTTAAGAGAACTCTCAGTGTTTTTCTTCAGATCCCTCTGGTGTCACCTGGTAGTGTTTCTGATTCGCAAATCCTAAGACCCTTAAATAAAACTTTGCCATTTTTAATTTTAGTAAAGCCTCCTGACGCATTTGGGTGAAGCTGACACCGGTATTTTCCAGTGTTTGAATATTCGCTATAAGCTACAGTTCTTTGTAAAGCAAAATATTTCATCATGAAAAAAAGGAAGATTATAGGAAGCAATACGTGCCCGAATACTCCACCTGAGGGTGTGTTTGTGCACGCCCTTAGTTCAGCCAGCATCAGTGCAAAATGAAGTAAGTTTCTCTAAGTTTCAAATATTTGTCCTAAAAACAAAGACCAAGGGCAATGAATACATTTTGTGTTTTAAATTTTCATTTTTAAGAATAACTTTTAAGTCCTGGTTAGTGTGGCTCAATGGATTGAGTGCTTGCCTGCGAACCAAAGGGTCACTGGTTTGATTCCAGTCAGGGCACGTGCCTGGGTTGTGGGCCAGGTCCTCAGTTGGGGGCACATGAGAGGCAACCTCACATTGATGTTTCTTTCCCTCTTTCTCCTTCCCTTCCCCTCTCTCTAAAAATAAATAAATAAAATTTAAAAATTCAATCCATTTGAAAAAAGAATAACTTTAATAATAAACACTT